CGCGTGGACCAAACGTTCTTAATTCGCGAGTCGACACAACTCTTGAGAATCGTGCCTATTATCAACGGTTACGTGGCCTAATAAAAAAGACCGTTACCCCTATCAGTAAACGTTGCAATTAATTTTAATGAATTGCATTGTTTCAACTTTTAGTATTATTTCTGCCAAGTGTAAAGATATCGGAGAAACAGTTGCAAAACCGACATGTCTCACTTGCTCAAGATTAAGTGATTATCAAGAAATTTCCAGTAAACCGAATTAAGCGACGCTGACCACGTGATTATGTTCAGTAGAAGGACGATTGAAGTCGTACAAGTAGATAATGTTCGTATGGATCTTAAGGTTCTGACACCAATCTCAAGACAATCACTTGTCGGGTAAAAATTCATCAAGAACCGACATCGTCGTCGATTGACCGATATCTCATGTCGTGTAACACCCGAGTTTTATTAATAAAGGAAATACTAGCTTTTAGTTTTAAGCTAGCCTTTGTTAATAAATAATCATATTCATGTTCAAGTTCAAGCAATTTAGTCAGTCATATTCTAAAGTTCGACTATTAGTCGATAAATTATTCGGTTAATTAATTCAGTAACCGGATAAGTTTCCAGATTTAATTCCGATTTGCTTCTTTATTAAGGAGTTCGGAATTAACAAGTTAAGTTGACGAATTATTCGGAATATTAAATTTCGGATTAATCGTCCAAGTCAAGAATGTTCGAATTAACTTTCGAATGTCATGTTCATATTCGGAATAATTTTCCGATAATTAATCTAGTTAAAGTTTCTTATGTCAAGTTCGGTTTACCTATACTGTGACGCGTTCACATTGGTACACCGTCCATCGTTAATTAAGTAATGGTCATTAACCCTTGATTAATTAACTTGATCATGTTTAAGCTAATTAATCGAGATTAGCTTAAGATAATCATGATTAGCTTAATGTTAATTAAGATTAATTAACATTAATGAGGATTAATTATGAGATTAATCATGTTTAAATGTAATCATGTTTAGTTTAGTATTAATCATGCTTAAGTAAGCCTAATATGGCCAGTGTGTATGTGTGTGTCATTAGTAAGTCATGATGCTGCTATTAATCGCATTAGCCAGCCAATCTCACGTCATCAGCATGCCTATTAGCGGGAGTAAGTGTGTTAAGTGTGGCAGCAACATGGAAGTGTTTAATACTTGCACAAGCAAGCTTAGCACGCCTAACCATAATTAACCCCAAATACACGGCCATTGAGAATGGTCTATTAGTCCATGTGAACTTTCATCATTACTTAGCACACATGTAACTTGCTGGTCACCTTAGGCTGATGACTAAGTAAATAAAGTGTTAAGTAAGCCACCAAGAGGCCACCTAAGGCCGTGGGGTGCAAGCAAGTGGCGC